ATGGGGACGTAAAAAGGCTGATGATGATGTCGTAGCCAACCGGGTAAAATATCCGTCCAATTAGGCGACTAGCCCCATAATAGAAAATCGTTATTCATTTGCACGGCTAATTGCCTATCAGCTTTTAATAATATTGTTGATGAAAAAGTACTTTTGATATTTTTTTCATAAATGTAGCTAAAAATATCACGAAAGGTATTGATACTGATATGACGAAGTGTCAATTATACTTCGACAACATAACAAAAACATTAAAATGTGTCGAATTCAGTCCAGTTAGTAAAATTAAACTATACCAGATAATATAAAAAAGCAAGCGCTCGCAAACAATGTGATACCAATAAAACTATATACCAGTCTGTATATTACCAATCATATCAAATATATCACAAAATATAATAAAGGAATATTTACCTCGCTATTCGCAGTGTATGAATTACGACAGTAAATATTGTGATCTATCAAAGGCTTTTGATTGTTTGAGACACGATATCTTACCTACTTATAAAGCTTGAATATTATGGTTTTCACTGGAAAGAATTTTAAATGATGAGATGTTATCTCAGAAACCGTAAACATAGAGAGGTAGTAAATGGTGTAGGTCCTGACAGTGCTGTTGTGACTATAGGTATACAGGAGGGTTCAATGTTAGGTCCTGTTTTATTCCTTGTATACATAAACGATCTCACCAGTAACTTACCGAATTAGGCTTTCATGAATCTATTTGCAGATGACACTTTTGGAATGTTGGAATAAAAGAAAATACACATAAAATGTTAGATAAAAGGATTATTTAAATACTTGAAAGAGAGGTTTTTAGCCAATGGTATTGTGTTTAATTCAGACAAAAGTACTATAATTAAATATCAATAACGAATCCATAAAAAATACATAAAGCAAGAGCATTTATTTTTAGGCCAAACGATTGATAATACTTTGGTTCATATACCTCACATTGAAAGATTATGCAAAAGGCTAGCTTGTGCAAACTATGCTCTTTTAAAATTAACTGACAGTCGAAATATGATAATGATTTATTATGCGTAAAACGCATATAGTATAACCGTATGAGAAAATTAGTGCAAACGTTAAAAGAGTTCTAAAGATAGCATAAAAAAGAGCAATAAGAATGTTTGAGGGAATAATAAGAAGGGATTCAGCGGGGTAGCATTTTGTGAAAAATAAAATCATGAATGTTATATCATTGTACATATATAAATGCTTATTAGAAATACGTGAAAATAGAGATAGCAATGTCAAAAGTAAAGTAAGATTCACTTTAGGTAAAATTGATTTATATTGCCTAAAGTGAGTCTTATCAAAGTGCAAAAGAAAGAAAAGTATAATAAGTTACTTATGTATAATAAATTGCCAAAATCAATATGAAATTTAGATAGCTAATAATAAATTTAAAAGGAAGATTAAAATTTTTTTTGAAAAATATTTTGAAAAAAAGTCTTTTATACACTTAAAGAATTTATCAATATGCCTTTGAAATAGTTCTCATTTACTTAGATTTTAGAAATTATTTATTAATTAAATTATTGTCAAAAATGACGTGAGATTAAAAACGTGGGAATATAATATAATAAAAACAACAAAGGAATAATGTGATATTAATGTAATAATAATTCGTTTGGACAATGTGTGATGTAACGTTAATATATATTTTTTTAATATAACTGATTATATGTATAATAGTAATAATGTTATATTTGTAAATGAATGAATGTATATGAATTACCTCGAGTAACATTTTCTCACAAATAGACAAGCTCAATAAAGAATTTGATTTGATTTGATTAACTATCAAGGATAATGATACGACCCCATGAGACTTCACGATTTATTCACTTTATTTCCGCAATTTAATATTTCCTAAAGCTTTGGAAGTTAGACCAAACCAAAAAGTTCCAAAACAAACATCGAGCAAGTACGCTCTCTAACACAATATAAACTTTTAAAACTTGTTAGAACGTTCATATGAACCCGATAAAAGGTATAAAAACATTTATGTTGATGTTTGATAGTATTATCTAGGGTTCTGTGTCTAAAATAATATCTCAATCTAAAACTGTCATTGAAAAACGACTCATCCTTAACCAACCTTTAAGAAAGTCGGTTAATTCCTGCAATCAAAGATTATTAAATATTTAAATATAATCATAGGGGCTATTATAAGGTAAAATCTATTAAAAAGTTGTTAAATCAACATTATAATTTACTGTAAAATCAACAATTAATATAATTTTCATACAAAATGTGGCTTTTCTATTTATTAACTCCACAGGTTCGGTATTCAGAATTTTCTTAATATCATATTTATGGGAAATCAACTTTTTACTTTCTTTTAAGCCTACAAAAGTAATTTAGATTGTCGTGATAAAGTTATCCGATAGCTTTATCTGGTTCGCGAATCAAGACTTGACTATGTGTTCTCTAATAATACCCACTACTATGGAATATGACAGTGATTGATGGTGACTACGATAAATCTTTATCATACGTAAATTATTCTAAATATCTGTAATAATATTTTTGTAGTTTTGATTTGTCTACATCTACTCACCTAGAAGCGGTATTAAAAAATATATAGATGTCAACTACATATTGTTCCGTTCGAGTAGTCTGTTTACACTTATATTATAAAGAGGAAAGATTTCATTGTTTGTTTGCATCGAAGAGGTTCCGAAACTACTGGACAGATTTTAAAAATTCTTTCACCTACAGGAACCTACATCATATGTGGTGAACATAGACTATATTTTATCCCGAAACAGCAAATAAAGGGATGAAAATGGGAGCGGAAATTTGTATAGGAAATCAAAATTGCCATAGTAAACATTGTGTACTATTAAATTTGTCATTGTAGTTACATCTGTGTAATTATATAAAACCTTATCCAAATGAATTATTTAATCCAATTCTAATCCTGGATTAACATATGGGCTAGGGACAGTTCTATAGGGACCATTCAGGCGAAGCCGCGGAAAGCTAGTAGGCAATAAATGGCCTGTTAGCTTTCCGCGGATAAAATAGGGATAAAATTTTAGACAGTACTCTTGGATATTTTTTTATGAAACAGAAAAATTTTGACAGAAAGAAGATAGAAAATATTGGTGACTGTCCTAGTAATATTGTATACATTGCACTTAGTTACTTGTTAGGTTGAATATTAGCAGTTCTCATGAAATTAAAAATACCTAAATTCGTACAAAATTTTTAAAAAACACAGCTAGAACAAACAATAGTTTTTAATTTGTCTTCATTATATGATAAGCACATTACATTAATATTTTGGGGAAATTTGCTGTATTTGTAGTAAAAGTAATAGACTAAGAGCCCGCGACGCCCAGACCTTCCTTATATTATAAAAGCTGAAAATTCTTCTATGCATGTCTCCTATACAGGTATAAGCAAACCCAGCCTATACAACCTGGGTCGCGGTGGCTTTGGCAGGTAACAGGTAGTAAAGGTGAGTAAAATTATGTTTCAAATTTGTGATAGTATAAAACTTAGTTTTCATATATTTTAACTTACAATCATATTAGAAACCGCCTCGTCTATTGGCGGACACTTCGGGCGGTAACAACTCCTTTCCAGACACCCTTACAGTATGATTATTTATAAATCTAATTTTGTCATAGTATAAAATGTGACTTTTATATATGTTATTCAGAAAACTATACGAATAATGTTTCCACAACCCCCAGTCACTTTCGATGGAAGGCTTTAATAAACAATATTACAATTCTGAGGCTGCAAATTTAAAAATAAAAAAAGAGCAAACAAAAAGTCGTTCAGTGAAGACAACTCATCTCCAGATACACCGGTAGTACCTGAGTCAACTACTGAACTCGCATCAAATTCTCCGACACAATCAGACCAAACTTTATTTTCTGAATTAATAGGGCTCCAGCCTTCAACCTCCGAAGAACAATCTCATTCATCGCCTCAACATACAGAACTTTCAGCAATTTCACAATCAACTTTAACTAGTGAATCAGAAGTATTACAATTAACAAGCTATCAAAAAATTCCTGAGATTAGTAAACCAGAAGTTGATGAAATAACAATACATTTTTTTACTTTGTTTTGTAATGGCTATAATTAAAAGTATAATTTAATTCCTTTTCCAATGATTTCATTACGATCTAATTTATTTTCTCTCCTTATAATAAAATTAACATACATACAAATTTATCTCCTTAACTTTAAACTTCAAAAATTTCTTAAATCACAACTCGATTCCATAAAATTCACTTGAAAAAATTCAAATTTTAGTTGAATACAAAATTTAATTATAATTTGCAAAAGTTAATAGCCTAATGAATCGCATTATTATATCTTTCATTTCTTAATTTGTTGATATGAAAATTTTGTTACATTATTTTATTAAAATATTTTTTTGATATCAGATAAAATTTCAAAAAATATTTAATATAATTTTGTGTAATCTGCAAAAAATATACATAGTTTCGTCTAAAATGAAGAGAAATATGTGGTATTACTTTCGTTATATCAGATTCCTTAATACAATTACTTTAGCTATTTAATTGAATGTTAGCTATATTTTAATTACTTATTCTTATATTATTGTTTACTCCTAATGAATCACAACCTCACTCTTATTAGATATGAATTAGCTATTTGAGTGATTTCAATCAATATCATCATATTTATTCTATCATGAGATCGATTCCATTTTGGAAAGTAAAAAGCCTAATTATATCCAATTATATCCTAAGTCCTACAGTTAATTTGCCTCTGCTAGCTGAAATAATTTGCTGATTACTAATGAGTAGATCTTATTATCAAAACGTTGCTTTAACTACTAACGATTTCTATTGATAACCGAAGATTATAAGGTTTGAGGTTAAATCTAATTAAATTAGTAACTGTTGTGTAATTTGAAGGTAAATCAAATGAAACACTAATGGTAGTATCACTATCTTTAGTTCACGAAATATCTCTAAATTATGTACAATATTATGGTTGTTTTAAGGCGCGTCATCTCTTATAGGTAGATACTGTGGTCGTCTGTAGATGGGTCGCCGTTTGGTTTGAGGCGCAGGTTCTGCTGAAGATCGCGATTGAGCTATGTGGGCACCAACTGGTATTGGTGTCACTGAGTAACCAGCCGCTACTAAAGCAGCAAACTCTTCCGGAGTATATGCTTTATTATTTCTAGGAGGAGGCAATTGTGCTCTTTGTTCCTCTAAACTTTGAGTTTGTTGCTCAATACTAACAGGCGATGAACTTTGTTGCTCATACGTCGGCTGCTCAATTTTGATATTCTGTTCCGTTCTAACAGGCTGCGGTCTTATTTTCTTAGGAGCAAGATTTTTGCTCACATATATAGCCGAAGAAGGAGCTTTCGTTGCTTCCACAGGCCTTGGCTGTTCTATTTGTCTCATCGTTATTGGTAAATCGTATCTCACCCTCTGCTCATTCTGTCTGTAAACGGGCCGGATATAATACTGCTCACCGATAATTTGAGCAGGCTGTTGAGGTACAGGCAATTCAATCGGTTCGTATATTTTAACAGCACGCATCTTTTCTGGCTCTGGGTATCGCTTTAAATATGTGATAGGCCTTTCAACGCTGGCCGCTTGAAGTCTGGGCTCTTGTCTGATGGGTTGTGGCCTGGGTACCTCGATGATTCTGTACTGTTTTGGTGTAGCTTCGGGCTGTTGGTATTGGGGTACTATTCTATAGGTAAGTTGGGGTCTTGCCATTGGCTGTGGCAGCTGCGGGATCTGCGGGATCTGCGGGATCTGCGGTAACTGCTGTAGTTTGGGAGCAGGAACAACCTTTAGCCCTTGTGATTCTGGACGTTCATAATATATCTGTTGAATGGCTGGTTGTGCTTGTTGTAGAGGAACGTACCGGAGAGCCTGTAGGGGTCTTTGCTGTTGAACAACAGGACGATATTGCTGCTGTGGCTGTACTTGTTGAAGTTGTGGTTGCTGATTTTGTTGCTGTTGTACGTTGGTTGTTTCGATCAAGTACTGTTGTGGCGCAGCTGATGCCTGTGGTGGGTTGATTTGCGCTTTGTTACGCAATTTTGTAGTTTTCTTAACGGGCTTTGTTACGTATCTGTCAACCTGTAATCATCACAGTCATAGATATTAATTTCATCTGGAGTCCTTTATAGAATATTTAATATGCTAATTCAATATAAAACCAACTTTTATTTTTGGATTATAATGTAAATTGTGAATTCTACCATTCAAAAATATCATATTTTGTTAAATTTTAAAATTATACTTGAATCATATCAATACCTGTTGATTTTGTTGAGGAGCAAGATTTGGGGCTGATGTTTGTTGAATTGGTTGAAGCTGTGAATAACTTTGTTGGTGATTGTCATCCTGCCTGACTTGGTGAATCTGGTTTAAAATTCCTAACAGATTTTGATCAAACGATTGCGTCTGGGTAGCTCCACTGTCACTGACTGAAAGAGCGGCGCCAACTGATGCTTCTCCCCCATTGGATGAGTAAGACGGACGAGCTATCACAGCATGAGATGGTTGAAGTGATACCTGAAATTGAAAAGTATATATTTATTTAATTAAATTCTGTAAACAAAAAAGGAATAAGATTTGGTTAGGTTCAGATCAATATAGTTAAGTTATCTTCTAAAGCTCTTGAATACTAAATTTAGAGAAACCAATTACTATCACACCTAACAACTTTGAGAATGTATATATTTTAAACGAATTTAAAATTATAGTTAATATTCTCAGATTGGGATCTTCCGATACGTTTAGGAGCTCGATGAAATAGAGTATGATTTATTATGAAAGTAAAGCTATTTTCGTAAGTTCGATATAAAAGAAATCAAAAACGGGTGACAGAGTAAAAATATTGGCCAAGTATGAGTCGGAATCACCGTTTCAGTATCGGAAATGAGGCAAAAATCAAGTTTTATGTACTGGAGCCGCCTTGAAGATTTATATTATTTTACTTTTTAGTTATTTTATTTATTGTTATAATGGCAACAGAAATACATCACCTGTAAAATTTAACCGTCTAACTATCGCAGTTTATGAGATAAAGCCAAGGTCCCGTTTTTTACCTTTCGACTCTTACCTCTAGAAAAGCACTATTAAAAATAATTGTATTAATGCTACTTTAATACTAATTTTATTATTAATTGTATTAACTTTTCCAGCCATCGAATGAGTAACCAAATTTATCATTCTGAGCTACGCTGCACTTTGCAAGGTACGTTGAGCCATTTATCCTGCCAATGACCCAGCCGTCGTCGTAGGCGTGAACAATCCACGCTGGGCCCGCAAGTTATGGCACATTGTATCTATATGGTTCCTTGTCATAAAGGAAGAAGGCTCTTGAATCCACATGAATAAGCTGATGACGATGCTGAATATTTTTATGGTGTATGGAGATCATGGCTAGGTGACTCGCACGCCAGTTTCAAAGTGTCGTTATATTTGAAGTCGCGCGTTCCATTTCCGATAGGAGCAATATCGAAAGATACTAAGAAAACTTTTTCTTAGTATCTTGAGTCAGCGTATTATAGTACCTACGCTGTTTCTTGTACTTATCTTGGAATCTGAACAATGTATGTGGTGTTGTGTAATATTTATTATTATTATGATATTTATCAAGAGATGAGACGTTCGTTTATCTATAATGTGTATTGGTACAGAAAATTTATTCATTACTATTCAACAGCCTGTTAAACCTATGACATCACTTAATTTGACAGTTCAAAACATTGTTTACCAAGAATCGTGTTGCTTATATTGAAATACCATGTCTATAAGGAGCAATTTCAGGTTCATTGCTGCAGATTATTTCAAATACTATTATTCCTCACTTTAAGAAAAGTTATTAATTTTTTTTAACAAAAACATGGTTTTGAGAACTCCCTAAACCTAAAAGAAGAAAGATGAGAGAGTTGTATAAATACTAGCAATTATAATAAAAATATGTAATCCTAAATTAAATGTCAACTGTGTAGGTGTGTTTTAACAAAATCATGTCTTAAAGAAAATGTTAAAAACTTCATTCACCAGCCCCAGGTAGTCCGGTATCATCAAGATAAATATAAAAACAACGTTATGAATCAAAAATTAATCCAATAAAAATATTTCTACTTGAATTCAGAAAGCGAGTAAGATAAAGACTAATAGTCTACGACTCCAGTTCGATTATAGACTGTCAGTCTTGACCAGCTATACTATTAAGGGTGCAGACGTCAAAAGCCATAAAAACTGGCAAGATTTAGATAGACGTCATAAAGAAATCACAATATATATATATATATAAATACACTTAATGGTACTCAGTTATTTTGTATACTCTGCAAAGATCTTGAACATCTATACATCGTGTCCCAAAATTCAACGATAAGCGGGCGCCAAGAGGTAGACCTGCTCATGTGTACTTATGGAAAAATAAGAAAAAAAAATTATCTTATTAATCTTTTTTGTTATAAAATAAAATACGAAAATTTTCGAAAATTTACATCTTTTATGATATTTTCAACTACCACGACCACAACTTCTCAATTATGTTCAATCTTTTTTTGGTATCGGATACCTAAGTAGTACTAATATTCGCTACAACTGTTAAAAACACCAAAATGCCCACAGTATTTACACAAAAAACAATCAAAATGTATTTTTTTCCTTAAATTTTCACAGATTTTTACGTTCCGTAATCTTTGACTCACAGTCATGTAGAAAAAAAGTATGGACACTACTGCGGCAAGTTGTTTTTAAAATTGACGCAGCTCATGAAGATTCCATAATGGTATAATACTTCATGATAACTAGCAACAAACTAAAAATCATACCATTTAGAATCAAGAACCAAAGTTGTGAGTAATAAATTGTACTGTTCCGAAATGTTTTAATATTTAAAAAAAAATATTGAAATAAAACAATAGTGAGTTTTAGTCTCATTCATTTATTAATAATTAACATTACAGTAAATGTTCAAATTGTTTTCCACCGGCATTAATACATGCACGACATCGCCTTAAAAAAGAGCGTTTTATTTTTCGTGCATACCTTTTAGCATTGATATGTGACGCAGCCTGACTAATTTTTTGCCGAAGCTCGTCCAATGTCGTAATGGGTTTTTCATAGATTTTGTCTTTGAGACAACCCCAATAGAAAAAGTCCAGGGGGTTTAGGTCGGGTGATCGGGGTGGCCATAAGATAGGACCAAGTCGCCCAATCCAACGCCCGGAATACTCTTGGTCCAAGTATTGTCTCACAGGACGAGCGTAGTGAGCTGGGCAACCATCATTTTGAAACCACATATTTTGTAGATCTCTTAAGGGGACGTCTTCAAGCAATTCTGGCAAATCATTTTGTAAAAAGTTCAAATAACTGTCACCATCCAAGTTTCCTTGTAGTTCAAAAGGCCCGATCACTTTTCCATTTAATATGCCCGTCCATAGGTTAACCTTAAACTGATATTGGGATTTTTCCTGTCTCATTAGGTGTGGATTTTCATTGCTCCAGCTGTGTAGGTTGTGGAGGTTTAAATATCCATCTTTCTTGCATGTTGTTTCGTCCGACCATAGTACTTTGTCCAAGAATTGAGGATCTTCCCGGTGCTTTTGAAGCATAATACGGCAAAATGTGATCCGTAGTGGATAGTCCCGTGGTAGCAATGTTTGCACACGTCTGTAGTGGTATGGGTGAAGCCTGTGACGTTTTAAAATTCGATGAGCCGTACTTTTTGGGATTCCCGTAGCTGCTTCTATGGCGCGTACTGAAGTAGTTGAGTCAATGTTTATTTCATTGAGAACTTCTTCATCGTATTCCGATCTAGGTCTTCCAGCGTTGCTTCTGGCTGATGGCAAACGACCCTCCGAGAACGCTCGATGCACATTCATAAATACTCGGTAATCTGGGTATCTTTGGGCGTTCGGGTACCTTTCCCGATACAATCTGCTAGCAGCGTTAGCATTGCACCGACATTCTCCATAAATGAGGTGCATATTAGCGTATTCCATCGGCGTGTATGGTAGCGGCATGATAACGCTAAACAATCCAAAATACGACGAAAGTCCAATTCACAAAACACTATCACAGTCCAAATTAATGCCAGGTTAGTTCAGTTTGCAGATCACTTAATTCCAGTCCAAAATAGAAAGCCAAAAGTCGTTAGTACGAGAGCCACGTCAATTGAATACAGAAAGGTGCGCAGTAAACAAAGGAGCAGAACGTACTGATCCGACTTCAGATTTGCTGAGAACAGGATTTCTCTATGTACCTGCATTGTTGTTATTCTACAAAAAATATCTATCTATCCCTCTCTAACATACCCCCCTTCTCGCTATCTGTTGAGTCAACTATAAGTTGAGCCATTACAAACGTGCGAACTGAGTTAGAAAAACAAATTACGTCAAAGGAATGTGACAATGCCGCAGAACTCGTTTTTGATAAAGGGATGCAGCCGCTCGGGTGCAGGTAGCTGGTAGAATTGGTTTGGTATACATAGGCATGAAAAACAATACTTTCAAAATAGCAGAAATAGAGCATTACCTAATAAATAAATATCTAATGAATATTTATAATTTGGTTCGTTTGTTTACAAATGGTGTGCATATTTTTTTACTGTGACTAGTTATCTTAGATTATTATACCATTTTGGAATCTTGATGAGTTCAGTCAATTTTAAAAACAACTTGCCACAGTGGTGTCCATACTTTTTTTTTACAAGACCGTAAGTCAAAGATTACGGAACGTAAAAATCTGTGAAAATTTAAGGAAAAAATACATTTTCATTGTTTTTTGTGTAAAAACTGCGGGCATTTTGGTGTTTTTAAGAGTTGTAGCGAATAGTAGTGCTACTTAGGTATCCGATACCAAAAAAAGATTGAACACTAATTGAGAAGTTGTGGTCGTGGTAGTTGAAAATATCATAAAAGGTGTAAATTTTCGAAGATTTTCGAATTTAATTTTATAATAAAAAAGATTAATAAGATATAATTTTTTTCTTATTTTTCCATAAGTACACATGAGCAGGTCTACCTCTTGGCGCCCGCTTATCGTTGAATTTTGGGACACGTTGTATATGTTACTGTCTACTCTACCTGTCTACCAACTTGCGGTTGAGGCTCGAGGTAATATAACTGCTGCAAGTTCTGCTTGTGCTCTTGTTGTTGAGGAGTATACAACTGCTGAAGCAACTGGTCATTGGATACTGGTGATTTCCTCTCCGGCTGCAGTTCTAACAGCTCTTGAGCGTTTAGGGAGAACACTTGGCCTGGACGATATTCTTCATTGCCACCACTTCTGGAACAAAAAGCAGATAATGAACAATGTTCCTTGATATTTGATGGCTTGAATTACTTCTTATTATAAACGCTAAAATAATCAATATAATTAAAGACTTCACTCTTGGAAAATATAATGGAACAACTTTTATAATGGGATTATTTGGAGATTTATTTTTGTGATTTAATTTTATGGTTATTTATTAATATGTACCTTCTGTTGTAAGAAATAGAAATTTTTTCTCATTAATGAAAATATTAAAATTATAATTATCAACACCGGTAACAGGGCCGATCAATATCAACATCAGTCTACAACCTTATATATATATGGAATAAAAAAAATATTTGATGACCTATAATATTATATGAGCGTTTAAAATGCAATGTTATTCCAAATAAACACAGCTTTAATATATCGTGCGAATAAATCTTGCACAGTTATAATAGACAACAATTATAATTAACAACAAAATCAACTTTCTATGTAACACGCATTGTCATATAATAAAATACAAACATGTACATTGAAGGAAACAATGATGTAAAAGTAAAAACTTAATACAAACGATACCACGCGAATCATTGATCGTGAAATATAATGAATTTAATGGATTGTGAACTCGTCACTGAAGACATATTGATTAATTTATATTGACAATGTTGATAATACAACACCTATTTTTATTTCATACTAGTGGCCGCCAGCGAATTCGTCCGCGTTTTCCATTATTTCTTCGCTCCTAATAGTTTCAGCGTGATGTTATATAGCCTAAAGCCTTCCTCGATAAATAGCCTATTCAACACAAAAATAATTTTTCAATTCGAACAAGTTGTACCTGAGATTAGCGCGTTCAAACAAACAAACAAACTCTTCAGCCTTATAATATTAGTATAGTTTGAGAGATAAATACTACCGTCACAGTAATAAAAAAGTATTTCTTTCAGTCATAAATTAGCAAATTAAATTGTTTACCATACGATTTATAAAAAAAGACCTAATGTCTGGATAAATTTACTATATTTAAAATTGCAGTGCTTCACCCGCTTTAATAATAGCCTATGTTGTTTACGTAGGATGTAGTGGAGATTCCCGGAAGTGAGTGAAATTTTAAAATTGGTCCAGTAGTTTTGGAGCTTATTCAATGCAAGCAAACAGTCAAACATTTCTCTTTATGATATTAGTATAGAGAACTGTTTGTACATTATATTATTAAACGCGACAATATAGATTAGATTTATTTAATTTTAGGAACGTACTGTTATAGGGTCTTTAAAAAAATGCTTTTTAAAAAAATGAATTTATTTAGAAGGACAAAATATATCGAGACCCTGGGGCAACCACGTTATAAGAAGGATGAAAACAGACTGAGCTCGCGACGAAGCGAGCTCGGTGACTAAAGATTCTGCTGATGCAGCGGTATCTACCTATAAGCATTTTAATATGTAGGGGTTGAATATAACAGTACGTCCCATGTTTTATATATATTCTTAGTGTGCACTCAATTTGGATTTCAAAATAAAAAAAATACTCGGTATAAATTTTCTTACATATTAGAAAAATAAAAGCGACACCCGAGAGTATTTTTTTTTTATAAAATAATAATCTTCTTATCCATATTATGAGAGTATTTTTAAAGATATTAATAGCCGGTTTCTGAATTGAGAAAAGTACAAAATCTCAACTGACTATTTTCAATAACTCAAATTTTTTAACGTTTCTCAACATCAAAAGATCCTAGTATTATAAATCTGAGTATAATAAAATATATTTTAAAGAAGTACATATCTATTATATATAAAAGCGAAAGGTCACTCACTCATTCACTCATCGCGAAATCTCAGAAACTACAGGTAGAACTGAACTAGGACTTTCAAATTTTGCATGCGGGCTCTTTATAGGACGTAGGATTTTACGAAATTTGACCCCGCCGTTGAGGGAAAGCTAGTTATAAGACTACTAAAAAGGTGTTACTTTGTAACAGCAAATCTTGTTAATTTTGTTCGCGATAATGAGTACTAATTGAAATACTGCCAACCTTATTCTGTCCTCTTCCTGGGGTTCTTCAACGGGCGCGACTTGTTCCTGGAAAGAAAATTATAATGTCAGTAATTTAAATTAAACCGTATAAACAAAGATGAGTTTGGCATGGAGCGTTCTAATATTTTTATTAAATTATTTATCATAACGTATATAATAAGGCTATTGCAACTATTAAAACTCGATTTGAAATGAGGTCCATTTCAATAATGTTGTGCCAAAATACAGTGTGGGAAAATCTTTAATGTTTTACCCGACTGCGCAACGCAAAGAAGGGTAAAGTGCTTATGAGTTTCTGTAATGTATGTTTGCTCCTATATGGTACTGTAGAGACCAAACGGCTTGGCCTGTTTTGATGATTTATACGTCAATAATTTTTTTTGAACTTTGTGAGTGTCAATTAACACATGACACTAATCAAAATTCACCATAGCAACTACCGGACGTCATATTGTCAAAATCAAAATCAAAACCGACCAACCGTATCAAATGGAGTAACGTTGATTAGGTATTTAATAAAAAAAAATGATTATTAGGTTTACTTCACCTTTTAGAGGTTGATTATTTAAAAAAAATATTATTAGGTTTAATTAGTCTTTTTTAGGGTTCTGTAGTCCCTACAAGGAACCCATTATAGTTTCAAGAACTTCTTTGGACCGAGCTGTGGTTGACTTAAGTTTTTTAAGTTATTTGAAATACAATTTAGCAAAAATTCACGACACGTCATTCAAATTATACAGGGCTCCGTTGATTGGTCAAAAAGAAACAGGTCCTGACTCTTGATCCTTCTATTCTGCTTTTGAATTTATGACATGTTTTATGAGTGTATAAATTTTACAATTATTTTAATGAAATAGTTATTCATTAGTACTTAATAACATTCCAAACTACTGGGCTTGTTTTTTCTTTTTAGTTTTTAGTGAAAGTAATTATTATTTTTTCACTTCTTTCTTTTGTTTTCATGCAGTCGGGTTTTTTGTTTTTTATAATTAAATTTTTATACGGACCGTCAAATAATATGAGGGATGTTAATAATTTTCCCATAGATGCCGTTGGTGGGGCGTACAAAACAAAGCGATCATTGTTTGATTATCATTTTGTATAGAACGTATTTGAGTGCGTATTTCATATACTAATAATTTAGACATCTACAAAATAAGGAGAAATAACGCAGAAACCGCTTGAAAGGCAAACCATATGTTGTCTTTTAATGTCTAGGGGTTCAAGATTTAGCTAGATATTTTTATTATATTTAATGTTCATTAAATAGGAATATTAGAATAGGCTTTGGTATATTAAGCTTTAGGTCCTCGAGATAATAATGTTTGATCCTTTCGTAAGTTTATTTAACAACGAACGCGGACCGCGGAGCTTATCCACTTCGACACCGAGCTACTCAACTAACTACATCTGTAATCTTAGCTTGATCGAAAGCGAAAATAAATCTGTATTATAACACATAATAATTATGTTGATTATGAGTAGTTATGGACGAAAAGGAAGTGAATGTCCAAAGAAGACATGGTCCGTGGACAGGTGATATATGGATAGATCGCGTGTGATTCGAAAAACGAACGAGTGATATACGTCAAGGTGACGTCTGAAAGACGAAAACAAATGCGACTATTAGAAATCTTAGATCCAAAAAGATAGTTACCGTGGCAAAAACTGTTTTTCACAAAGTGCTACTTAGTAGAGCTTTATCCATTGACATATTACTTCACTTAGTGCACTTGGAGAAGAAATTTTCAGGTTCACTAGTGTTATATTATAACAAAAATACTTTTGTAACTTATAGTAATAATGTAGTAAAGTTTATTTAACCTGTGTTTATAAAAAAGGTTATATTTATTTTCTAAACGTATTTATCATGTTTTCGTTCTCACCAAACTGACAATACGTTATTACACTATGTGATTTGGTACTACGTCACGATATGCCGCGGACGGTAACTAGAAACGTAACACCGTATTAAGTCGCAGAAGAATTAAGAAGAAAATGAAGAATAAATTGGCCACTCAGTTTATGCACTCGCTTTTTTTTTCAGTATATATTGTATTATATCTTACAGTGTAAATACTGCTTTTATAAGTATCACACGCAACGTCGCGACTTAATTGGTATATGACTCAAACTAACAATGCATTTTACTAAATTAAAACTATTAAGACGTCTATTGTAGTTGAAATACATATATAAAAGAAAGCCTTAAATCATTTTCAAATGTAAATATATAGTATAAAGTAGTTCTCCGTCTATCTGTCCCTATGTATGCTTAGTTTTTTAAAACTACGCAACGGTTTTTGATGCGGTTTTTTTAAGCGAAAAGCTTAATGGAATAGTATTGAGAACAATGATCTGGGTGTTTACTGTAATAATCATTTTTTTTTAAATAATTTTTTACACGTTTTCGGCGTTGATGGATAGTTATATTAACTTATCAATTCCAGATAATGTAATGGTTAATATACGCATCCACAATGGTAATTTTGGTAACGTTTACGATTGTGTAGAATTAGAAGATTACGCAATCGATGAATAAAGTGCTCTAGACATTTTGTTTGCTATTGTGCAAACGGAAACGGTGTGGTGTTTCGATAGCGGCCATCAGAATATTGTGTCAGTCTTTACTGTATCATTTGAGATAAAAATAATCGCATATGAGTTACACGATTGATAAACCTTCACGGAGAATTTTTTTATCTTTTTTTTTTAATTTAAAGTAATTAGCTCACTCTTGTTTTCAATCCAGCACAAGGTTATGATTGAGATCTACAATATATACTACGGAGTACGGTAGCGGGATGGGTTTGCCCAGAACGAAGCTATTCACCAACGCGACGATAATTCTGGATCTATTTACCTAATACTACTATCGCCTTAATTAATACTATCGCCTTAAATAGATCTGGGTTATATGTACTTAGGCATATAGACGCCGGCAAGGACTTCCACTAATTGGCAGTACACATAATTTTATGTGAGACGTGCTATATACGATGACTTGGGATATCTACCACTTGATTATGGTATCTCGTCTTAAGTCTAGATTGTCGATGGTAAAATGGTGAAGGCGGTGTGAGCTCGTGCTTAATGCTTATCATCATTATCAACGCCTTAAGAACAGAATCATATAAGGACTAGTACGCAATTATTTGATGTTCTTTTTTGCGGTTGCAGTCGAAACCAATCGCTTAGAATGCATCCTTAAACAAGAAAGCCGAAATATCAGACATTTTGGATATTTTTTATTTATTTATTTGTAAACAGATTACATTCATAAAAATATTATAGTCATAAAAAGTAAATACATATTTCACAATATAATTCTATGTATATTTTACCAACCATAGAAAATTCAAGATTTCGTCTCGCGTATATTATATATATTTTAAATCCAACTGTGAACTTATTTCTGAGTTGATTTAGCATTAATAGCACAATTTGTGCCAGCCAGTGTGCTTTATCATTTAAAGAGTTCATATTATTACTTTTATTTAATAATTTATTTCACCGCTGTATATACACATTTTTGGTGTTTCCTCTATTGTGCTCTGCTTTTGAGGAATTTATTGATATAAGATCTGATGATCTTATTATGTTGATAAAAGCTTAACAGTAACTTGCACTAGGAATGTCTGTAAAAATAGTTTAAAAAACCAACAAGTTTCTGAGGTGGTTAGAAGTTTTGCAGTAGTGTACAATTGATAGACCCTTGAACAACAAGAGTTCGTGACTATCGCAGATTTGCGAGTCAAATGCACTCTGGAGCGGAAAATCTTATGCTTGCATTTCACGCAGCAAGACAGTGATGTATTTTTGCGACAATTAGCATTACACATTTATTAATTAGTGGCTCATCATAAATAACCAGTCGTTAGTCACTAATATATAAATTGTAATAAATTCTACATCCTTTAGTCAGTTTAACCATAAAACGAAGGGTCTTTTGCTGAGAAGAATCGGCAAAAAGAACAAATTCAGCCGTTGTTGTTACTACATTCTCACAAATATATACTTATTGTGAAATTTCTTTATATTTGTCATTGCCCGATGTCGCATTGCGTGGAATGATACTTTAATTTTTCTCGACTACCGTAAAGGTCATACACGATAGCTAGGAAATGCTGACGAGTGAGCCACATAAGCATTATATGCTGAATTAACAAGAAGAATATCTAGGAGATATGTAAAGTTCATGTACGTAAAGTATGTGTATTTTGTAATGAGGTGATGATGTATCGTATAATATACACTTCAGTTTTTGAAACTTGATTGTCATTTAGCTCTCTCCATCCAAAGGTTGTCTGGCAGAGATCGCTCTAAGCGATAAGACCGCCAAGTATCGTATAATATACACTTCAGTTTTGGAAACTTGATTGTCATTTAGCTCTCTCCATCCAAAGGTTGTCTGGCAGAGATCGCTCTAAGCGATAAGACCGCCAATTGTAACACTATTTGTATGTAAATTTCTGTATATGTGGTGTTGACAATAAAGAGTTATATTATTATTATTATCAATATGAGTAAGAAAGTCAAGATTAAAATGTCAAGTCGGTATATAACTTTATAAGCGCGATACAGACTATTATTAGGATTGATAATACCTCTTTTACACTGGTTAATAGGTTCAGCACACGGAGTGCATTCTACCTCTGAGGAGTCATATCATTAGTAAATAAAACAATGGCCCACGAATGAAAGCGAGGAACAGAAATAGAGGTTACCAATTGCTTCAAACAGGCACTCTTTTTAAAACAAATATTGTCAAATGTGGCATATTCTTTTTAACCGACTTTAAAATCCTAAAGGAGGAGGTTATATGTTGAACTACGATTTAGGTTTGTTTTATGTATGTTCGTCTTTCTGGCAATTGTTGATCGATTTTCAAAATTCTTTTTTTTATTCGATAGCGTAATGGAACGAGGTGGTCCCATTTAAATTTTATCGAAATCGAATTAGTAGTTTTCCTTATATAACAAAACAAAATACGCTGTATACTTAAATATTCAGATGATAGGTATTGTATTTAATGTATCTCAGCT